AGATCATAAACCATACAAGCAATGATATGACGATGTAAATATCAGGAGTATGCAAGAAGGAAATAATTTGCAAATAGTGCAAAGAAACATGCAAAACAATTATCGCCAATTTCCCTTACCAAACAAATCAAAGTGTTCATGCTAACAAACTCTTGCAATGATAAACGAAACTCCCTTACCAACCTTTTATACTGTTTGAATAATAACAGTGTAAATTTCTCAAATACCTAGACTAAATCAAAATTCAGAACATCAAGATGAAACTGAACTTATTTTATTCATTTTGAGAAATCTTTTTCATTTAAAATCGAAGCAAAGTATATAAATATAGCAAAATAAAACTTTAATCAATAATTCATGCTCATTACATTAATGCTAAGAGTAACCAATAATTGACAATTAGTCAAGATAAACACATGTTTAAACAATTACAAATGGTATCACTGTGATCTACCTTTGAGATAATCTAATGACATACTATTTAACAATTATGGTGATTTCCTTTCACCAATAGGACTAGTTGATAAAATATTCATAATTAAGTAGGTCTGTTACCTTTGGATATTTATTCCAATATCAATTATGAATACACATCAACTATCCTATTCCAATTCAACAATTACTTAGAAGTGGTGCACCTTTGGGCCAACCTAATATTTTTGTAATTAAAGAATTGCGATTTGCAAAGTGAATTTTTTTTTTTAATATTTGGGAAGTGTATTAAATTTCAATTATTTGATTTGATATCTATGTGTCATTCTGATTGGGTCACTTTGACAACTACCAATCGTATCATTGAAAAATCTAGAAATCCCCTAGATGTTGATTTGTGATTATGTATCAAATTTAAGCAGTATATAACAATCCCAATCAAACAATCAAGACAAATCGACACAATGATTTTACATAGAAAAACCACAATTGGACACCTCCAATTGTGATAAAAAAAAACTAAACCAACTTCCTAAAAATATATATATACTAAATGGGACACAAACCACCCACAAAGTAAAATAATTCTAAATAAAACCCAATCACAATGTATGCACAAAACTCGACAAAGCAACCTAAAACAAATTAAATAAATGTCCTAGAGGTCCATGCAATTGAGTCCCCGTTACGCCATGAGTCGACTCTAAGTCCTTCTAACACCTGGAAATGGTAAACAACAAAGTCAGCTGATTGCTCAGTGAGTAGCAACATGGATAGTAAATACAGTTTTGAAAACAGGGTTCAATTCCAAAATAAGATATATATCACAGAAACTAGATTGGCATACAGTTTGGTAAATACAATCTGTTTCAAAAAGAAGGTTCCACAGTTCAACACTTAAAATACTCATGTCTCGCAAGAACATGATAAACAACATTTTCCACTTAAAACAGATTATAACATGAACACTAATAATTTTCTGGGTACCAATAAAAACAAATAATTTGCCACACAGTTCTCAAGGTTATAAGCCCCGTTGGATCCAATATCGAACTAAGAGTCATCCTCGGGGTGGCACCTGGGCCTTTTCTCAAAGACGATCCGATTGAAGGTCACCTAGTTATTTTTAAAGGTCTTTTCCTTACAATCGTTGAGCACTAGAGTCATCACGGCCCAGCTCGGATCTGTTCCCTAGTGGCTAGAGTCACCACACACAGTGGAATAATTTCCCTGGACTAAATACACACATGGTCCCAATAATCAATACACATCAGTTTCGCAAAACATGGTAGTTCATCATAATAAACATGAGACCAAAACAAATAGTT